TCAGATCCTACATACTCATGACTTTATATTTTTAAAGCCATTGTCTTGTGGTGTTTGCAGGTCCACAAAGGAAGAGAGCGAGGAAGCGCACCACCCAGGACACCTCCGCCCAGGAGCTATCGCGCTTGGAGCTGGAGCTGATGGCCCTCCTGCGGCAGACTGCAGCTCCAGCTCCATCACGAAATGAGCTCTTCCTCCAATCTCTGCTTCCTCTCCTGGATAAGGTGCCACCTCAATCTTTAGAATTTGTCAAATTCCAAATTCATAAATTACTTTATGAGAGCAGCGCATTTACGCTTAATGTGGAACAATTGGAGCACACTTAGTAGTAGTGTTTAGCTATGAGGTGGCTTCTTTTGCAGGGGAGGAAACAGACTCTTCTCCTTCCTGCACTCCTCCTCCTCCAAGCAAGGTCCTTTTTATTCCTGTTCCTGTTCTTTTTTGTGTATATATTTGTTTTTACATATTTCATTAAAAAATTTATAACTTAAGATTTGGTCTGCTACTTTAAATATGTACAGGTTTTTCATTAAGGTATGTGTTCAAATAAGTTAAATATCACTAATTTCAAATACTTCAATTAAGGAGAACTTTACTCGTAAACACGTTATCACCAAATATGAGACAATAGAAATTAGTTGACATAATTAATTTCAGCATATCCTGTTTGGACAAACTTGTAATTGAGGCCATGCTTGAACATGTTGTGAAGTCGGAGACAGCTGCAGAATCTGGAACTATTACCTGCAAACAAGAAGGGCACAGGTGAATGGTTAAAAAACATACTGGATAAACATAGACATGGTCTTTATCCAAGACTAGAATTCATGATCAGGATGTTGTAGTATTTGTGTCCTGATATTCAAAAGTAATGCATTGGCAAATACAGACACTCAAATATTATTAAAGAAGAAATGCTCTTTAGTTTTCATGGGTGGCTCTTAAAAGAACCGTTTTGGGTCAGTCCCGTGAGGATCTGACTACTCTGTCGGCTGCCATGCTACTGCCCCCTCCTCACAGAAGTGGGCCATGAACGCCTCCCTCGCCTGCAGTGCCTCTCTGGTGGCGTTGTTGGCACCCATCCTCCCGACACCTGGAAGACAGTCATCTCCCTGCGCTGCAGCTCCTCTCAGGACTGGGACCGGAGCAGACACCCTCAGGAAATTGTGGAGAACACATGTGGCCTTCACGCACTTCTCCACAACTTCTGGCCGGATCTCGAGGTCCCGACGAAACATCCTCCACTGCGATGACCAAATGCCAAACGCATCCTCCACCACCAGCCGGGCTCGGGAGAGGCGGTAATTAAAAATGCGCTGTCCAGGGTTAGCGCCGCCACTTCCTGGAAAAGGCCGCATTAAGTTCCTCCGCAGTGGGAAGGCCTCATCTGCCACAAAGACATGGGGCAGGGGGCCTCGGTGCTCTGCTCCAGGGAGATGCCGGTCAGCTGGCAGAGGAAGTGTTCCCGCATGCAGAGCCTGACCGAAGGTGGAGTTGGCCAGGATCCCTCCATCGCTGGTTCTGCCATAGCCCCCTACGTCAATCACCCTGAACTTGTAGTTGGCATCTACAATAGCAAGGAGGACCAAGGAGTGCCTACCCTTGTAGTTGAAGTACAGGGAGCCTGAGTTGGGGGGTGCCTTGAGGTTGATGTGCTTCCCATCTATAGCACCACAACAAAGAGGGAAGTTCCACCGCTCCTCAAACTCCATAGCAGACAACCTCCACTCCTCTTCTCCAGGCACAGGCATGAACTCCTCCACCAGGCCGTCCCAGATGGCTGCCACCACATCTGGGATGATGCTGGAGATGGTGGAGATGCCCACCCTGAAGCTGCTTGCTATGGTCCTGAAGGAGTCCCCAGTAGCAAGAAACCTACAATGATACAAATACGACTCAGCAATATACAAAAATATTTTAAATTAATCATACAATATGATTGTGTAAATTTGTTTTCAGGAATTGCACCAACAATGGAAATGTACCCTCTCTTGTGAAATCACAGGGGGGTTAATCACTTGGGAATCTGAATATATTAAGTACTAAGTAGCAGACAATGCTGATTTAATTGATCAGTTTTCTAATAACTTCACTACAGTGACACAATGCACCTTCAAAATGACTTCAAATGCACAAACGAGGGCCATAGCAAATATATCAATTGTATTAATGATTACTCTAAATACAATCGTTATAACAGAGAAAGTCTGTAACAAAAGCCTCCTTGGGTTCACGGGTGTTCAGCGCCGCTCAACACCCGTGGTTAGCCGGTTAGCATTGGAGCTCCGCGCTGGAGGGAAAAAGTCCGACAAAAATTTAAATATCTATTTAATCACCAAACAGACCTCTGATATGACATTAGTGGGGTATATTTCCCGCCTGAAATGTTATTACAATTAACTTTTATGTCCTAATTAAAACGTATATTCAACGTTTAACTACTGCTTTTGGCTGCTCCTATCTCTCGCTCCGTGATCCATGCTAGGGACGCTATTTCCTATTGTATTTGTAGATATTTTATCAGAAAATTCTCACTAACCTCAGGCAGATAGACAGGCGCTCTTCCGCTGGAATCGAGCGCCTGTAGTTGGTGTCCATGCGGGCGATGCGAGCTCCGATGCGGGTGAGCAGGTCATCAAACTGGGCTACTGACATTCGGAAGTACCGCTGAAAGCGAGCCTCGTCCATACGCAGCTCCTGGAGTAAATGGTGAAACTCACCAAACACTGCACGCCTCTGAAGTATGCTGTGAACCCATACACGTTGTGTAGAAGCCCTACGACCACGTTGTATGGATTTTACCAACAAATAAAGGCAAGCTGCTCTTCGGAAATCCGCCATCTTCTCTGGACTACACCGGCAACAGAGAAGCTCCTCCCACCAGCGTCAGGCGCGTCAGGCGCGTCACTCGCGTCAAAAGCTTCAAGCACCAAAATGACAAAAATAACCCGGCGTCAGCTGACGCGCGTCAAAAGCTTTTTGAAGCTTTTGGTCTGAACGCGCCTTTAGAGCTGCGTCTCCGAGCACTGGAGTCTCGAGCTAGCGCTAGCATTAGCTACAGCCAGGCCGTATCCTCAGGGACAGCGCAGCTTTAGCGAAAGGCAGAGGAGAACTAGCGAGCCTAGCCTCCCAGCCCTAGCCTCCCAGCCCTAGCCTCCCAGCCCTAGCCTCCCAGCCCTAGCCTCCCAGCCCTAGCCTCCCAGCCCTAGCCTCCCAGCCCTAGCCTCCCAGCCCTAGCCTCCCAGCCCTAGCCTCCCAGCCCGTCCTCCGCAGCTGGGACAAGACCAGGATAGTGATGGCTTTGTGACTGTTCGGAGAGGGCGACGTGTTGTTGGTAGTTTCCCCATTGGGCCTCCTCCTGTTAGCATTTACAATCACTGGGACGCTCTGTCGGGGAAGAAGGCCCCACTGAGAGAGCCGCTGAGAGAGCCGCTGAGAGAGCTGCTGAGAGAGCTGCTGAGAGAGCTGCTGAGAGAGCTGCTGAGAGAGCTGCTGAGAGAGCCGCTGAGAGAGCCGCTGAGAGAGCCGCTGAGAGAGCCGCTGAGAGAGCCGCTGGGAGAGCCGCTGAGAGAGCCGCTGAGAGAGCCGCTGGGAGAGCCGCTGAGAGAGCCGCTGGGAGAGCCGCTGAGAGAGCTGCTGAAAGAGCCGCTGGGAGAGCCGCTGAGAGAGCCGCTGGGAGAGCCGCTGAGAGAGCCGCTGAGAGAGCCGCTGGGAGAGCTGCTGAGAGAGCCGCTGAGAGAGCTGCTGAAAGAGCCGCTGGGAGAGCCGCTGAGAGAGCCGCTGAGAGAGCCGCTGGGAGAGCCGCTGGGAGAGCCGCTGAGAGAGCCGCTGAGAGAGCCGCTGGGAGAGCTGCTGAGAGAGCTGCTGAGAGAGCTGCTGAGAGAGCCCCTGAGAGAGCCGCTGAGAGAGCCGCTGAGAGAGCTGCTGAGAGAGCCGCTGAGAGAGCTGCTGAGTGAGCTACTGAGAGAGCCGATGGAGTCGCTGAGTGAGCCGCTGAGAGAGCCGCTGAGAGAGCTGCTGAGAGAGCCGCTGAGAGAGCTGCTGAGTGAGCTACTGAGAGAGCCGATGGAGTCGCTGAGGGAGTTGCTGAGAGAGCCGCTGAGAGAGCCGCTGAAAGAGCCGCTGAGAGAGCCGCTGAGAGAGCTGCTGAGAGAGCCGATGAGTCGCTGAGAGAGCCGCTGAGGGAGCTGCTGAGAGAGCTTCTGAGAGAGCCGATGGACTCGCTGAGAGAGCCGCTGAGGGAGCTGCTGAGAGAGCTGCTGAGAGAGCCGATGGACTCGCTGAGAGAGCCGCTGAGAGAGCTGCTGAGAGAGCTGCTGAGAGAGCCGATGGAGTCGCTGAGAGAGCCGCTGAAAGAGCCGCTGAGAGAGCTGCTGAGAGAGCTGCTGAGAGAGCCGATGGAGTCGCTGAGAGAGCTGCTGAGAGAGCCGCTGAGAGAGCCGCTGAGAGAGCTGCTGAGAGAGCCGCTGAGAGAGCCGCTGAGAGAGCCGATGGAGTCGCTGATGCGCTGGTAATTGGCTCCTCTATTGTTAGAGGTGTTAAGATCCCAGGAGCCACTAACAGAATTCTCTGATTTCATGTGAAACCTAGTTTTGGAATGGGAAAACATAGCTACAGTATATAAATAAAAACACATCCTAAATGCGTAGGTGTTTTAGGACGAAGCATGAGCATGATCTAAATACACCCAGCATTAACTCAATGGTTCATCAATTAGTTTGTGCATTTAACTAAAACATTTTAATGCTACTTTTCCACAGCAAAGTACAGAGGTATTTACTCACAAATTAGACAAATATGTTATTTCCTTTGTATCTTTTCACGTATCATAAAAACTGGATGCAGTTTGAAATGAATCATTTTTGCAGGAGGACTTGATTGCCGTGTCAAACAAAATCACCGACAAGATTGTGGCTGTGATAGACATTAAGATAACGGAGGTCTCCAACAAGCTCGACACAATTAATGCACCGGAGGACCAGTCCCCCTCAGCTAAACCGATGGCGCCGGAGGACCAGTCCCCCTCAGCTAAACCGATGGCGCCGGAGGACCAGTCCCCCTCAGCTAAACCGATGGCGCCGGAGGACCAGTCCCCCTCAGCTAAACCGATGGCGCCGGAGGACCAGTCCCCCTCAGCTAAACCGATGGCGCCGGAGGACCAGTCCCCCTCAGCTAAACCGATGGCGCCGGAGGACCAGTCCCCTCCATCTAAAGCGATGGCGCCGGAGGACCAGTCCCCCTCAGCTAAACCGATAGCGCCGGAGGACCAGTCCCCCTCAGCTAAACCGATGGCGCCGGAGGACCAGTTCCCCTCAGCTAAACCGATAGCGCCGGAGGACCAGTTCCCCTCAGCTAAACCGATAGCGCCGGAGGACCAGTCCCCCTCAGCTAAACCGATGGCGCCGGAGGACCAGTTCCCCTCAGCTAAACCGATGGCGCCGGAGGACCAGTCCCCCTCAGCTAAACCTCCAGCTGCTGGACACTTGGAGAGTAACTAAACAGAAAGAGATTATAGTTTCTATTCTAACCCCATCGCACTCACTCCAGAATTGACTATTTTTTCTCTCCCAGAAATGATCTTGACAGAAGTGAGGAGTAACAGAGGAGCTTACTCTGACCACAGTGAAGTTACTTTGGTGTTGCTCCTTCTCCTCCACTAACATCACGTCAATGGCGGCTAAACGCATCATTGTTTTAACACATTCAACTAAAACAGATAAAAGAATGTCTTGCTTTTAATAATAATGAAGATACTAATGCCTCGATGCTCTGGGATACTTTAAAAGCATATGTCAGGGGTGTTATAATTTCTTATAGCTCTGCTAGAAAGAGGGAAGTGTTGAAAGTCCAACTGGAGTTAGAAACACAGCTCAAGGCACTTGATCAATTCATGAAAACAAATCCATCCGTCTGTCTAAAGAGCTGGATGTAACTCGTTCAGCTCTCAACCAACTTTTATCCCAAAAAGCTGAAGCAAGTTTATTATATGCAAGACACAGATTATTTGAAAACAAACCAGGCCGTCTATTAGCTCGCTTAGCAGCTGGTCGACGGGAAATACAGTCAGTTTCTACTCTCCAAGATATAAATGGTAAAAATCACTATGATTCTAAAAAACTGATTGAAATAATGAAATCATTCTACACAAAATGATATACCTCAGAATTTAAAAGTTCTAACAGTCAAATTGAAGACTTTCTGAATGGCTTTAACCTCCCTATCCTGTCAGAAGAACATAGACTGACTCTTGGGATCAAATTACTAAAGAAGAAATGACTTGTGCCATAAGATCCCTGCCTAAGTCAAAGGCCCGGGGCCAGATGGATCAAAGGCCCGGGGCCAGATGGATCAAAGGCCCGGGGCCAGATGGATCAAAGGCCCGGGGCCAGATGGATCAAAGGCCCGGGGCCAGATGGATCAAAGGCCCGGGGCCAGATGGATCAAAGGCCCGGGGCCAGATGGATCAAAGGCCCGGGGCCAGATGGATCAAAGGCCCGGGGCCAGATGGATCAAAGGCCCGGGGCCAGATGGATATGGCACTGCGTTTTACTTTCCATGATTTAGTTAACCCTCTCTTTGCCTCCGTCTTTATATTCAGCTAATATTTCTGTATTATTAAAGATAAACCTAGTGATAAATGTAGTTCATATAGGCCTGTGAGTTTAATAAATGTGTACTGTAAAGTTCTGTCTAAAATATTGACCAAGAGGTTATTAATCAACAAAGATCAGACGGGTTTTATAAAACACAGGACATCTTTTACAAACATGAGAACTTTGCTTAATTTAATCCAATACACAAAACATAACAGTAAAAAAGGAATCGTTTCTCTCTTGACGCGGAGAAGGCTTTCGACCGAGTCAAGTGGCCTTATCTTTTCATGGTCATGCAAAAATTTGGATTGGGTGATAATTTTCTCTCTCTCAGGTCTCTCTCTGGTCTCTCTCTCTGGTCTCTCTCTCTGGTCTCTCTCTGGTCTCTCTCTCTGGTCTCTCTCTGGTCTCTCTCTCTGGTCTCTCTCTCTGGTCTCTCTCTCTGCTCTCTCTCTCTCTCTGGTCTCTCTCTGGTCTCTCTCTCTGGTCTCTCTCTCTCTGGTCTCTCTGGGGTCTCTCTCTGGTCTCTCTCTTTCTGGTCTCTCTCTCTGGTCCCTCTCATGTCTCTCTCTGGTCTCTCTCTCTGGTCTCTCTCATGTCTCTCTCTGGTCTCTCCCTCTGGTCTCTCTCTCTGGTCTCTCTCTCTCTGGTCTCTCTCTCTGGTCTCTCTCATGTCTCTCTCTGGTCTCTCTCTCTGGTCTCTCTCATATATCTCTCTGGTCTCTCCCTCTGGTCTCTCTCTCTGGTCTCTCTCTCTCTGGTCTCTCCCTCTGGTCTCTCTCTCTGGTCTCTCTCTCTCTGGTCTCTCTCTCTGGTCTCTCTCTCTCTGGTCTCTCTATGGTCTCTCTCTCTCTGGTCTCTTTCTGGTCTCTCTCTCTCTGGTCTCTCTCTGGTCTCTCTCTCTGGTCTCTGTTTTGTTACTTCTCTTGAGTATGAATCCAGACACAACGTGTCGGGTGTAGCCATCTTGGTTTATTGTATCACAGCGCCCTCTAGTGATCAACACAATACACAGCATATCCTGACATCCCCCTTTTTTTTTCTGAAGAAAAAAATAAACCTTTGAATCATAACAACTAAACAATGTCAAGCCCTAGACTTGTTTTTGTTTTTTCAAAATGCAATACTTTTACATATTTCAAACATTTCAAAACTTTTCTCACATAATTTGTTGAAACTTCACAACAAATGAACATGTAGTTATTAACAATAAACTACTCCTCAACTAGTCTGCTGGGCCTATTTACCACATGACCACCAGCTGTTACAGGTTCTGCATCCCTGTCATTCTCCCTGTGCAATTCAACATCTGTAACATCTTCCTGAGGCTTCTTAGACAACATCAAAAACTTCCTACTTCTTCTGAACCGTCCATCTGGTGTCTGTACTACATAAGGTCTTGGGTGATCCGACATTCCAGTGACCTGTGCCGGACGCCATGTACCGTCCTGCAGGATTCTCACAGGGTTTCCCACCTGCAGTTTTGGAAGAAGTTTTGATCCTTTGTCAAAGTAGTCTTTTTGTTTTTTCTGTCTCTCTTTCAGCATCTGCTGGACACCACTTGTGACTGTTTTTGGTTCAAGCATGTGAGAAGACATCGGAAGCTTGGTCCTCAAACGACGTCCCATTAATAGTTGCGTTGGTGATTTTCCAAGGTCCTCCAAACTCCGCAGATCGAGCAGGGACAAGTAGGGATCCTGTCCCTCAGCTTTAGCCTTTTTTAGTAATAGTTTGACAGTCTGTACTCCTCTTTCTGCCATTCCATTAGACTGTGCGTGGTGGGGACCTGACGTTTTGTGAGTGAAACTCCAGTCTTTTGCAAATGCCTGAAACTCCTTAGAGCTAAACTGGGGCCCGTTATCGGAAACCACAGTTTCGGGAATTCCATTGCGAGCAAACTGAGATTTCAGATGGGTGATTACAGTAGCGCTTCTGGTGTCTGATTTGAACCACTCTACTTCAATAAACTTTGAATAGTAGTCTACAAGGAGTAAATATTCCTGTTGCTCAAACGAGAATAAGTCAATGCCTATCTTTTGCCACGGTCGCTCTGGAACACTGTGTGGGTGCAGCGGCTCTTCACTTTGTTGTTTTTTGTATGTACAGCACACATCGCAACTGTTCACTAGCTCTGTAACACTCTGTGACAAGCTTGGCAAAAAAAGCACTTCTCTTGCCCTACGTCTGCAGCTTTCAATACCCAAGTGTCCCTCGTGAATAAGTTTTAACATTTCTCCTCTTAAAGATGCTGGAGCTAAAGCCGTTCTCCTTTAAATAGGAGAACGGCAGAGAAGAACTACTGATAATTCTTCTCTGTAGTTCCAATACGCTTGAATGTCCTTATCCACTTGGCTTTTTGACTCTGGCCATCCTTGCAAAACAGTTTCAATGAGTTTCTGTAAAGACACATCATTTTTTGTTTCAGTTTTGAATAAGCGCAGCGTCTCATCTGACACCGGTAAGTTGCTCATCACCATTTGCACATGCGCTTCTATTTCTTTGTCTGGTGAGTTTGTCACAGGTATATACACTCTAGATCAGGGGTCTCCAACCTTTTTTAATCAGAGAGCTACTTTTATACAAACAAACAGGCAGAGAGCTACTCTTTTTTGCAGTCATAATAAAATGGATCTAATAATTACGACTAAACTTGGAGAACACATATAAAATACACCATATTACTGTATAACCCTATATTTATACTTATAATAGATATGTAATGGGTCAAAAAGTATTCGTTTAAGTGTATTTGTTAAAGTCTAATTTCTTTGGCGAGCTACCTGTAAGGGCCTGGCGAGCTACTGGTGGCTCCCGAGCTACAGGTTGGAGACCCCTGCTCTAGATAAAGCCTCTGCAATGTGCATTTCCTTTCCTGGCTTATACTGCACATTCACTTGATACTTTTGTAGTCTCATTAGCAGCCGTTGTATTCTCGCCGGTGCACTGCTCAGAGGTTTTTTCATTATAGCTTCCAAGGACTGGTGATCTGATTGTACATCCACTTCTCTTTCATATATGTACTGGTGAAATGAATGGAGTAGGGATTCGCACATCAAAAACCTTCAGAGCGGGTGCGTTGGAGAGGAGGCCTGTAGAGCCTAAAGTCAGAGAGAGAAGAAGAATCCCGCACACCGTCTTACTTGCAAATAAAAATTATTTATTAAAGAGCTGCGACGTTTCGGCGTTATGCCTTCATCAAGCAAACATGTGAAGAGCACCAGGAAGTTCTCTTAAATAGGGTGGGGCAGGCACCTAAGGGTGCACAGTCAACCACACCCACTGAGCCGTGTACAAAAAAACATATGAGCCACTAGGTGGAGACATTCAAAGATTGCAATCAATACGATATATATATACTGTATAAACATTTGCTAAATACCTATTTATAGTGAAATTGATACAATACATAGAAAAATTAGAAAAAACAGTAAGGAAAAAACAGTAACAGTTTTTTCCAGTTTTTTCCTTACTGTTTTTTCTAAGTTTTCTATTTGGGCATAACGTTGTTCCGTTTCAGTCAGTGAGCACGACGCATAGGCCACAGGTTTGTCTTCTTGAAATAAAACCGCACCAAGTCCACTTTTCGAAGCATCCACTGACAGTGTTACAGGTAGTTTCACGTCATAATACCTGAGTAACGGTGCTTCAGTGAGCATTGTTTTCAGTCTGTTGAACGTACTCTGCTGCTCCTCGCCCCAATGCCATGCCACATCATCTCTGGTGAGCACGCGGAGATGTTCTGTATTTTGTGACATGTTTTGTATGAACTTTGCAAGGTAAGTGACCATGCCCAAGAATCGCTCCACATCTTTCTTACATTCCGGAGTTGGCATTTTGCTCTGATCTGGTTTTAAACCGTCCTTCGAGAAGATGTGACCCAGATATTTGATTTCACTCTTTTGTGT